GAGCTAACATTACCACTGCTGCTATTCTAGCTTCAAGTTTTGGACTGCTCATTTGTATTTTTATTCCAAAATGTTACATTATCTTATTAAAACCAGATAAGAATACAAAAAAGAATATGATGGGGAAGGGGGCACCAAAATCATTTTGAAAACTTGTTGTCAAAGGCATTCTAGTGTCATCATAATGTTTAAATAAAAATGTGTTACTGTTGTACCCTTAAAAAGGGGAATAGTAACGGGAGAAGGATGAGGAAAACACACACGCAGCTCTTTCCTTCACTCGTCTGTATTGAATGAGGAAGAGGAGCGCGATCCCCCTACTGGAGCCCCGAGGCATTACCAACAGATCGACGAACCATTAACCCACACAGATAAAGATTTGTATTACCTATCTGCATTCCTCTTCTTGGTGTTACTCACTCGTTGCATAGTCTTCATATACATTCACAACTACCATAAATGAAATTACATCTTTTAAAATAGATACTATAATAACTGTGATAATATCAAACTGAAATGAGCTTTTCAGATGAACTGTGTTTTAACTCAAAATAAATTGTATGTATGAATAAATTGTTATATACAACTTGTCACATTACCTGTCAGTAAGACATCTATCTTCATATTGTCGAAAGACTTTGCAATAAGACGTGGCATATCACTGAAATATCAGCATTAGTTTAAAAATGCGCTAGTCTAACTACTGCACAACATTTAATACAGTGATAATAACAATAATAAAATTGTAATCAAAGAATAAAATCCATAGTTTCACAAGACAAAAGACATCTGTGGCTTAACTTGTTTGGTTTCCTCTGATTTGAGTTCAACCATGAATACTTTACCTCTTGTTGTTGAATGTGTAAAAAGCCCTGAGATGAGTTGTAGAGCTAATTGGCCGAGTCTGAAAAGCAGAGCAGAGCTATGTCATCATTGAGGCTGCTCCTTTTTTTATTCAGGCAATTCCGGAAGTCCAAAAATGTCCGAAAGTTTATATAGTTTAAATGAATGTGTATTTTGTGCAGTGTTGAGACATTAACATAAATATTATTATTTTATCTTTCACCAGCCCAGCCTGTCTCTGTTGCTCTGTTTTGGTGTTACAGCCCACAGTTTCACTATTTTGATTCACTCTCACCACTCTCAGCTGCAACAGGTAGTATTCAGTGGACCCGAGGGCTCAACGCACTGCAACTTATAGGAAAAGATATGCAAATTGACAAAAAAACAAGCAAATTAAGAAAACAGCTTTACCTATTTGACAAGTGAGAAAAAAAAAAAAAGGAAAGACACAAGCTGCAAATACACAAAACAAAACTAAAAACAGTCCAATTTTGACCGTGTTGCAGCGTTTCTGTATTTGGTTGTGTTTTGTCTCCCAAAAACATTTTTCTAAATGTGTGTCTTGTTAAATTGGTGTTTTTGTAATTTGCTAGGGTGTTTCATCATTCCTAGATCTACAGTTATAAATATAAATATTATTTAAGATACTGAATGTTAAGGCCCCAAATGTTTTTTTTTTTTTCTGTCAGGGCACCTCCCTCCTCTCAAACCACCTGGTATATCCACAAAACATCACTGGTCAATATTTTTATGCGGCACCAAAATGTCTTGATATAAGTGTAAGCTTTTGATATGTATGAAAGTACATGTGATGCCACCCAGTGGTTTAGCTCTCATTCACAGTATGTCGTCGACACAGAGGTGGTCAGAGAAGGCATGGGCACTCTTACAGCTGTTGTTGATGGCGTCTTTCTCTCAGGCTGAGGATCCGGTGTGCAGGCGGATAGGGGATCCTGAGATCCCCCAGATGTTTAAAGATGGGGACATTATATTGGGGGGAATCTTCTCTTTCCACAATGCATGGAAAAACAGACAGGATACCTACATGCACAAACCACTGCCACTGCAGTGCACCAGGTAAATTAGATAGGAAAAATGTGTTCATTATACAAAGATCGAAGAGGAAGTAAGTACAGATACAAAACAGGTCAAAAACTGGTTATGGAATGAATATTAAATTAAGAAATATTGTGTGTTGCGTGTATTGATACCATCAAATACCTTCATTGACTATGCGATTATTTAAGTCTCAAACTATTTATAACTGTCTCCATCAAGTTTCAATTTCAGAGGTTTCCAGTATGCCCAGGCTATGCTCTTTGCCATAGAGGAGATTAATAACAGCACAGACCTTCTGCCTGGTATTTCTCTGGGCTATAAAATCTACGATGCCTGTGTCTCCATTGCCAGAGGTGTGAGGGTCGCATTGGCCTTGGCAAATGGTAATGAAGTGGTATCTGCACCCTCAGAGGCTCCATGTACCAGACCTGCCCAAGTGCAGGCTATTATGGGAGAGACCTTTTCCTCTCCCTGCATGGCTATAGCTACTGTCATCGGACCGTTTCATATCCCAATGGTGGGTAAGACTGGTAAAAATGAAATTTAATTTGTGAAAAGCAATCATTAGTGTGTAATTCTTCCAGCTGGTCATGGGGTTTAAAAACACTGTAGTGTGTTCTGTGAATGTTTTATATTTTATATTTTACAACTTCATCTTGGGATATCATTTCTTATTTCTTTTAGATCAGCCACCTTGCTACTTGTGCTTGCCTCAGTGATAAAACCAAGTACCCATCCTTCCTCAGAACAATACCCAGTGACTACTACCAGAGCAGAGCCCTGGCCCAGTTGGTCAAGCACTTTGGTTGGACTTGGGTTGGAGCTATAAGAACAAATGATGATTACGGCAATAATGGAATGGCCACTTTCACAGAAATTGCCCAGCAGCTGGGCATTTGTCTGGAATATTCTGTATCTGTCTTTAGGACAGATCCACCAGATAAAATACAAAAGACAATTGAAATGATCAAGGCTTCTACTTCAAAGGTCATTGTCACCTTCCTCTCGCCCACAGAGTTGTATGTGATAATAAACGAGTTGGCTCAACACAACCTGACTGGGTACCAGTGGGTAGGTACTGAGGCCTGGATCTTTGATTCTGAAAGTGCAGCAGTGGATAGGCATCACATTCTGGATGGTGCCATAGGCCTGTCTATCCCCGCAGCACTTGTCAGTGGCATGGAAGAGTTCATGTTGAATGTGAAGCCACTCAATTCATCAAGTAATGAAATGTTTACAGAGTTTTGGGAGACATTATTTAGCTGTAAGTTCACACAGTCAAAGTCATCAACAGGGAATCAGAGAGAATGTACTGGACATGAAGATTTGACGGGAGTGCAAAACAGCTACACTGATATGTCGCTCATGCCTATATTTTATAATGTCTATAAAGGAGTGTATGCTGCGGCCCACGCACTTCATGTTATTCTCAGCTGCAATAAAACATGTAACACCAAGGTGCAGCTAGATCCCTTTACGGTGAGCTTAACGCCAAAGACTTGAATCATAGTATTTACATCAAGTTATATCAATAAAGAAAAGGATTTACATTTCTAAAAATATATTGTTGCAGTCTGTCTAACATACTATAGAGGCAACAGACCAAAATATTTTCAGATAATGGTCTACATTAATGCATATCTTCTTAGATTTTACAGCACATAAGAAAGATTAATTTCAAAACGAAGGAAGGAGATGAGGTTTACTTTAATGAAAATGGAGACCCACCGGCAAAGTATGAAATTATAAACTGGCAGCCAACAGAAAATGGCATTGTGGACTTTGTCACAGTTGGTCTTTATGATGCATCTTTACCTGCAGACAAACAGCTGACTCTGCAAAATAAGTCTTTAATTTGGGCACAGAACTCACCAGAGGTCAGCTACCATGTGATCACTTTAACTATATTTCTTTATAATTTTGTGTTACTAGCTGATGTTAGTGCATTATTATATTTGGTCTGCAAAGACAACAACAAGTGAATGCCTCTACATTTTCCTCATAGTTGCAATGCTGTACATTTATAGTTATGCTGACTGGATAGTCATACTTTTTGGTTTTGATGCATCACCATTAATAATAGAGGCAAACCAAGACAAAAGTTAGGTTAAAGTGAATACCCATACTTTTTTCTCATCGTCTCTTTGTTAATGCAGGTGCCAGTGGCAGTTTGCAATGAGAAATGCCCTCCAGGAACTCGCAAGGTTCTCCAGAAAGGAAAACCTGTCTGCTGTTATGACTGCTTAAGATGTGCAGAGGGAGAAATCAGCAACATTACAGGTGCAGTTATATAAAATACAAGACAGAAGTCTTGTGTTATGTGTTGTATTATGTTCACATGAATTAATAAAACAAACATCAAAGATCCTAGACAAATACTGACACAGAACCTTTTAATCAGCTACATGAATGAATGTATCATTTTGATTAAAAATGACTCATTCTTAGATAATGAAACATACCTTTGAATATTATATTCAGTTTCTGCCAATCGATTCTTCTATATGTCAACACTGGACATTTCAACTAATAGTTTAATGATACTATTTACCACTACTTTCTGAAACTGTAAAGGTTCAAGGTTGAGTAAATGAGATCATGTTTGATATTTGAACAATGGAACAGCATAATACCTTTAAATAAACAATATATATAATGCTTAATTATGAAGAAAAAAACAAATCAAATGAACAAAATGTATGAATAATACCTCTTTATAGTGTACTGTCCCTCATACTTATGAAATCCAAGTAATTCATGATGATGCCATGTAGTTGTAACATGTTATTTATTTATTGTCTAGTTACTACATTGTGTATGTCTTGTATGCAATGAAAAGATGCAACCTAGAGAGAAAAAATATAAATGCACTGAATAAGTGTAACACCTGCTTCAATATTATTTTTCAGATGCTATCACGTGTGTGCGGTGCCATCCTGAGTTCTGGTCAAATGAGAGAAGAGATGCCTGTGTAAAGAAGGAGGAAGAGTTTCTATCATATGAAGAGATTATGGGAGCACTGCTTACTGCAGCTGCCCTGTTTGGAACATTTATGACAGCTGTTGTGGCCTTAATTTTCTTCAGATACAGACAGACACCTATTGTCAGAGCCAATAACTCTGAGCTGAGCTTCCTGCTGCTCTTCTCATTGACTCTGTGTTTCCTGTGCTCTCTGACCTTCATCGGTCGGCCCTCTGAGTGGTCCTGCATGCTGCGACACACCGCATTCGGCATCACCTTTGTCCTCTGTATCTCTTGTGTTCTGGGGAAAACAATAGTGGTGTTAATGGCCTTCAGAGCCACACTTCCAGGTAGTAATTGGATGAAATGGTTTGGGCCTGTGCAGCAGAAACTCAGTGTTCTCGGTTTCACTCTTATACAAGTTGTCATATGTATCCTCTGGTTATCAATTTCTCCTCCTTTTCCCTTTAAGAATTTTAAGAAGTTCAAGGACAAAATCATCTTAGAGTGTGCTTTGGGCTCAGCTGTAGGCTTTTGGGCTGTACTTGGCTACATAGGACTTCTGGCCATGTTATGTTTTATTCTTGCCTTTCTGGCTCGGAAACTGCCTGATAATTTTAATGAAGCCAAATTTATCACCTTTAGCATGTTGATATTCTGTGCAGTGTGGATCACTTTTATCCCAGCGTATGTCAGCTCTCCTGGGAAGTTCAGTGTTGCTGTAGAGATATTTGCTATTCTGGCTTCAAGTTTTGGACTGCTCATTTGTATTTTTATTCCAAAATGTTATATTATCTTACTGAAACCAGAGAAGAACACAAAAAAGAATATGATGGGGAAGGAGACACCAAAAGCATTCTGAAGCATAATAAATTGTTGGCATTCTAGTGCCACCATCATTTCTACATAATAATTCATTAAAAAGACTGTCAAGTAGACATCTATCTTTCTTTCACTGAATTTTCAAACGTACTACTGTAGTATTTTTTCCATTGTATGTCATTTGAGCATATTGAGATGACAGCATCTAATACTATGTGAGACAATTATATTGACCAATATATTTATATATATGCACAAGCCCAAAAGCTAATGAAGAATAAAATCCACAGTTACTGAAAAAAATATCTTTGGTTTCACTTTATGACAAATAATCTTCCTTAGTTTTGTTACTTCACATGTTTTCTCAATTTTCAGTATGGTGAGCTTTCAGAGCCACTGTAGTATTCAGCAAACCATATCTAAAACCCTGTACGCATTTTGATGCACAAATTGTTCAGACTTTTTATGTAACTCAGTCATTTAAATTACATTAAGGCTTAGAGTTATCCATGACGAAGGCCATGGCCGCTTTGAGTGACAGTTGACTGTCGTCACAGGTGACTGTTTTCAGTAATCAGGCTTCATTCAGCCCGCCTCAGTTCCACATCACTATCATGGAAACCCTTCTACCTCTACTCTGATTTCTAGGATGGACATTCAGCCTTGGGAGAGGCATGGAGCATGCCCCAAAACTTCCCCTACAACACATTGCTCTGAGCCATGGCATAAAGCGTGGAAGGGTAGCCCTCCTTGTCTCAGTAAGCCTCAGCCTTTACGACTGCAATGAATTTAATATCTTGAGTGTGGTGGACTTTCCACTATTAAATGATCATCAGGATTCCCCCTCCCTTTCCCCAGAGACACCTGTGCTCTCAAAGTTTACACACAGCTGGACTGCTGCCGCCCCTGATGCTCCTGATGGAGCTAACATTACCACTGCTATTCTAGCTTCAAGTTTTGGACTGCTCATTTGTATTTTTATTCCAAAATGTTACATTATCTTACTAAAACCAGATAAGAATAAAAAAAAAAATATGATGGGGAAGGGGGCACCAAAATCATTTTGAAAACTTGTTGTCAAAGGCATTCTAGTGTCATCATAATGTTTAAATAAAAATGTGTTACCTGTCAATAAGACATCTTTCTTCATATTGTCGAAAGACTTTGCAATATGACGTAGAATATCATTGAAATATCAGCATTAGTTTAAAAATGCGCAAGTCTAACAACTGCACAACATTTAATACAGTGTTAATAACAATAATAAAATTGTAATCAAAGATTAAAATCCATAGTTTCACAAGACAAAAGACATCTGTGGCTTAACTTGTTTGGTTTCCTCTGATTTGAGTTCAACCATGAATACTTTACCTCTTGTTGTTGAATGTGTAAAAAGCCCTGCGATGAGTTGTAGAGCTAATTGACCGAGTCTGAAAAGCAGAGCAGAGCTATGTCATCATTGAGGCTGCTCCTCTTGGTTATGCTAAATGGGGAGGAAGATAAACTGCAAACTGCAAACTATGAGGCTTTTTTTATTCCGGCAATTCCAGAAGTACAAAAATGTCCGAAAGCTTATATAGTTTAAATGCTTAATGTGTATTTTGTGCAGTGTTGAGACATTAACATAAAGATTATTCATTTATTTTATCGTTCACGAGCCCAGCCTGTCTCTGTTGCTCTGTTTTGGTGTTACAACCCACAGTTTTACTATTTTGATTCACTGTCACCACTCTCAGCTGCAACAGGTAGTATTTAGATAATTGATATTATCAAGGCTTCTACTTCAAAGGTCATTGTCACCTTCCTCTCCCCCACAGAGTTGCATGTGATAATAAACAAGTTGGCTCAACACAACCTGACTGGGTACCAGTGGGTAGGTACTGAGGCCTGGATCTTTGATTCCGAAAGCACAGCAGTTGATAGGCATCACATCCTGGATGTTGCCATAGACCTGTCTATCCCTGCAGCACTTGTCAGTGGCATGGAAGAGTTCATGTTGAATGTGAAGCCACTTAATTCAATAAGTAATGAATTGTTTACAGAGTTTTGGGAGACATTATTTAGCTGTAACTTCACACAGTCAAAGTCATCAACAGGGAATCAGAGAGAATGTACTGGACATGAAGATTTGACTGGAGTGCAAAACAGCTACACTGATATGTCGCTCATGCCTATATTTTACAATGTCTATAAAGGAGTGTATGCTGTGGCCCACGCACTTCATGCTGTCTGCAAACTATAAGGCTTTTTTTATTCAAGCAATTCCATAACTACAAAAATGTCCAAAAGCTTATATAGTTTACATGCTTAATGTGTATTTTGTGCTGTGTTGAGACATTAACATAGAGATTATTAATTTATTTTGTCTTTCACCAGCCCAGCCTGTCTCTGTTGCCCTGTTTTGGTGTTACAACCCACAGTTTTACTATTTTGATTCACTGTCACCACTCTCAGCTGCAACAGGTAGTATTCAGTGGCCCTGAGGGCTCAACGCACTGCAACTTATAGGAAAAGACAACCACTTTACCAATTTGATAAGTGGATAGCATTTAGAAAAATCCTGCATAGTGAGAAACAAAACACAGAAAGAAACAAGCTGCAAATACACAAAATAAAACTAAAAACAATCAAATTTTGTCTTTGTTGCAGCGTTTCTGTATTTGGTTGTGTTTCGTCTGCCAAAAACATTTTTCTAAATGTGTGTCTTGTTAAATTGGTGTTTTTGTAATTTCCTAGGGTTTTTCATCATTTCTAGATCTACAGTTATAAATATTATTTAAGATAATGTCGGTTAAGGCCCCAAATGTTTTTTTTTTTTTTCTGTCAGGGCACCTCCCTCCTCTCAAACCACCTGGTATATCCACAGAGACAAAACATCACTGGTCAATATTTTTATGCGGCACCAAAATGTCTTAATATAAATGTAAGCTTTTGATATGTATGAAAGTACATGTGATGCCACCCAGTGGTTTAGCTCTCATACACAGTATGTCGTCGACACAGAGGTGGTCAGAGAAGGCATGGGCACTCTTACAGCTGTTGTTGGTGGCGTCTTTCTCTCAGGCTGAGGATCCGGTGTGCAGGAGGATAGGGGATCCTGAGATCCCCCAGATGTTTAAAGATGGGGACATTATATTGGGGGGAATCTTCTCTTTCCACAATACATGGAAAAACAGACAGGATACCTACATGCACAAACCACTGCCGCTGCAGTGCACCAGGTAAATTAGATAGGAAAAATGTGTTCATTATACAAAGATCAAAGAGGAAGTAAGTACAGATACAAAACAGGTTATTGAATGAATACTGAATTAAGAAACATTGCATGTTATGTGTATTGATACCATCAAATAATTTTAATGATTCTGCTATTGTTTTAATTTCAAGGATTAATTGTTAAAAGTTCAAAAAACATTTTGCTGTCTCCATCAAGTTTGAATTTCAGAGGTTTCCAGTATGCCCAGGCCATGCTCTTTGCCATAGAGGAGATTAATAACAGCACAGACCTACTGCCTGGCATCTCTCTGGGCTATAAGATCTATGATGCCTGTGTCTCCATTGCCAGAGGTGTGAGGGTCGCATTGGCCTTGGCAAATGGTAATGAAGGGGTATCTGCACCCTCAGAGGCACCATGTACCAGACGTGCCCAAGTGCAGGCTGTTATGGGAGAGACATTTTCCTCTATTTGCATGGCTATAGCTACTGTCATCGGACCCTTTCATATCCCACTGGTGGGTAAGACTGGTAAAAATGAAATTTGATGTTTTAGTATTTATATTTTACCTCTTTATCTTGGGATATCATTTCTCTTTTCTTTTAGATCAGCCACTTTGCAACTTGTGCTTGTCTCAGTGATAAAACCAAGTACCCATCCTTCCTCAGAACAATACCCAGTGACTACTACCAGAGCAGAGCCCTGGCCCATTTGGTAAAACACTTTGGTTGGACTTGGGTTGGAGCTATAAGAACAAATGATGATTACGGCAATAATGGAATGGACACTTTCACAGAAATTGCCCAGCAGCTGGGCATTTGTCTGGAATATTCTGTATCTGTCTTTAGAACAGATCCACCAGATAAAATACAAAAGACAATTGAAATGATCAAGGCTTCTACTTCAAAGGTCATTGTCACCTTCCTCTTCCCAAAAGAGTTGCATGTGATAATAAACAAGTTGGCTCAACACAACCTGACTGGGTACCAGTGGGTAGGTACTGAGGGCTGGATCCTTGATTCTGAAAGCGCAGCAGTGGATAGGCATCACATTCTGGATGGTGCCATAGGCCTGTCTATCCCCGCAGCACTTGTCAGTGGCATGGAAGAGTTCATGCTGAATGTGAAGCCACTCAATTCATCAAGTAATGAAATGTTTACAGAGTTTTGGGAGACATTATTTAGCTGTAAGTTCACACAGTCAAAGTCATCAACAGGGAATCAGAGAGAATGTACTGGAGATGAAGATCTGACTGGAGTGCAAAACAGCTACACTGATATGTCGCTCATGCCTATATTTTACAATGTCTATAAAGGAGTGTATGCTGTGGCCCACGCACTTCATGGCATTCTCAGCTGTAATAAAACATGTAACACCAAGGTGCAGCTAGATCCCTTTACGGTGAGCTGAACACCAAAGACTTGAATCATAGTATTTACATCAAGTTATACCAACAAATTAAATGATTGACATTTCTAGGAATATATTGTTGCAGTCTGTCTAACATACTGTAGAGGCAACAGACTAATAGAATATTTTCAGATCATGGTCTACATTAATGCATATCTTCTCAGATTTTACAGCACATAAGAACGATTAATTTCAAAACAAAGGAAGGAGATGATGTTTACTTTAATGAGAATGGGGACCCACCGGCAAAGTATGAAATTATAAACTGGCAGCCAACAGAAAATGGCATTGTGGACTTTGTTACAGTTGGCCTTTATGATGCCTCTTTACCTGCAGGCAAACAGCTGACTTTGCAAAATAAGTCTTTAATTTGGGCACAGAACTCACAACAGGTCAGCTACCATTTGATCACTTCAGTTTTTAATTCTTATAATTGTATGTTACTAGCTAATGTTGGTGCATTATTATATTTGGTCTGCAAAGACAACAACAAGTGAATGCCTCTACATTTTCCTCATAGTTGCAATGCTGTACATTTATAGTTATGCTGACTGGATAGTCATACTTTTTGGTTTTGATGCATCACCATTAATAATAGAGGCATACCAAGACAAAAGTGATGTTAAGGTGAATACCCATACTTTTTTCTCATAGTCTCTTTGTTAATGCAGGTGCCAGTGGCAGTTTGCAATGAGAAATGCCCTCTAGGAACTCGCAAGGTTCTCCAGAAAGGAAAACCTGTCTGCTGTTATGACTGCTTAAGATGTGCAGAGGGAGAAATCAGCAACATTACAGGTGCAGTTATATAAAATACAAGACCAAAGTCTTGTGTTATGTGTTGTATTATGTTTACATGAATTAATAAAACAAACATCAAAGATCCTAGACAAATACTGACACAGAACCTTTAAATCAGCTACATGAATGAATGTATCATTTTGATTAAAAATGACTCATTCTTAGGTAATGAAACATACCTTTGAATATTATATTCAGTTTTTGCCAATAGATTCTTCTATATGTTAAAACTGGACATTTCAATTAATAGTTTAATGATACTATTTACCACTACTTTCTGAAACTGTAAAGGTTCAAGGTTGAGTAAATGAGATTATGTTTGATATTTGAACAACGGAACAGCATAGTACCTTTAAATAAACAATATATATAATGCTTAATTATGAAGAAGAAAAAAACAAATCAAATGAACAAAATGTATGAATAATACCTCTTTATAGTGTACTGTCCCTCATACTTATGAAATCCAAGTAATTCATGATGATGCCATGTAGTTGTAATATGTTATTTATTTATTGTCTGGTTACTACATTGTGTATGTCTTTTATGCAATGAAAAGATGCAACCTAGAGAGGAATAAAAAAATATAAATGCACTGAATAAGTCTAAAACCTGCTTCAATATTATTTTTCAGATGCTATCACGTGTGTGCGGTGCCATCCTGAGTTCTGGTCAAATGAGAGAAGAGATGCCTGTGTAAAGAAGGAGGAAGAGTTTCTATCATATGAAGAGATTATGGGAGCACTGCTCACTGCAGCTGCCCTATTTGGAACATTTATGACTGCTGTTGTGGCATTCATTTTCTTCAGATACAGACAGACTCCTATTGTCAGAGCCAACAACTCTGAGCTGAGCTTCCTGCTGCTCTTCTCATTGAATCTGTGCTTCCTGTGTTCTCTGACCTTCATCGGCCGGCCCTCTGAGTGGTCCTGCATGCTGCGACACACCGCATTCGGCATCACCTTTGTCCTCTGTATCTCTTGTGTTCTGGGGAAAACAATAGTGGTGTTAATGGCCTTCAGAGCCACACTTCCAGGGAGTAATTGGATGAAATGGTTTGGGCCTGTGCAGCAGAAACTCAGTGTTCTGGGTTTCACTCTTATACAAGTTATCATATGTATCCTCTGGTTATCAATTTCTCCTCCTTTTCCCTTTAAGAATTTTAAGAAGTTCAAGGACAGAATCATCTTAGAGTGTGCTCTGGGCTCAGCTGTGGGCTTTTGGGCTGTACTTGGGTACATAGGACTTCTGGCCATGTTATGTTTTATTCTTGCCTTTCTGGCTCGGAAACTGCCTGATAATTTTAACGAAGCCAAATTTATCACCTTTAGCATGTTGATATTCTGTGCAGTGTGGATCACTTTTATCCCAGCATATGTCAGCTCTCCTGGGAAGTTCAGTGTTGCTGTGGAGATATTTGCTATTCTGGCTTCAAGTTTTGGACTGCTCATTTGTATTTTTATTCCAAAATGTTATATTATCTTACTGAAACCAGAGAAGAACACAAAAAAGAATATGATGGGGAAGGAGACACCAAAAGCATTCTGAAAGCATACTAAATTGTTGGCATTCTAGTGCCACCATCATTTCTACATAATAATTCATTAAAAAGACTGTCAAGTAGACATCTATCTTTCTTTCACTGAATTTTCACTGTACTACTATAGTATTTTTTCCATTGTATGTCATTTGAGCATATTGAGATGACAGCATCTAATACTATGTGAGACAATTATATTGACCAATATATTTATATATATGCACAAGCCCAAAGGCTAATGAAGAATAAAATCCACAGTTACTGAAAAAACATCTTTGGTTTCACTTTCTGATAAATAATTTCCCCCTGTTTTGTTACTTCACGTGTTTTCTCAATTTTCAGTATGGTGAGCTTTCAGAGCCACTGTAGTATTCAGCAAACCATATCTAAAACCCTGTACGCATTTTGATGCACAAATTGTTCAGTCTTTTTATGTAACTCAGTCATTTAAATTACAGTAAGGCTTAGAGTTATCCATGACGAAGGCCATGGCCGCTTTGAGTGACAGTTGACTGTCGTCACAGGTGACTGTTTTCAGTAATCAGACTTCATTCAGCCCACCTCAGTTCCACATCACTATCATGGAAACTCTTCTACCTCTACTCTGATTTCTAGGATGGACATTCAGCCTTGGGAGAGGCATGGAGCATGCCCCAAAACTTCCCCTACAACACATTGCTCTGAGCCATGGCATAAAGCGTGGAAGGGTAGCCCTCCTTGTCTCAGTAAGCCTCAGCCTTTACGACTGCAATAAATTTGATATCTTGAGTGTGGTGGGACTTTCCACTATTAAATGATCATCAGGATTCCCCCTCCCTTTCCCCAGAGACACCTGTGCTCTCAACGTTTACACACAGCTGGACTGCTGCCGCCCCTGATGCTCCTGATGGAGCTAACATTACCACTGCTGCTATTCTAGCTTCAAGTTTTGGACTGCTCATTTGTATTTTTATTCCAAAATGTTACATTATCTTACTAAAACCAGATAAGAATACAAAAAATAATATGATGGGGAAGGGGGCACCAAAATCATTTTGAAAACTTGTTGTCAAAGGCATTCTAGTGTCATCATAATGTTTAAATAAAAATTGTTATCTGTCAATAAGACATCTATCTTACTCTTAACTATAATAAAATTGTAATCAAAGAATAAAATCCATAGTTTCACAAGACAAAAGACATATGGGTAACACTTTATAATGAGTACACACTATTAAGCATTAGTTAAGCATGAATAAATACTGACTTCATCATTTATAACACATGAATACACATTAGTATGTAGTTTACAAACAGTTAAAAAGGTTTTATTCATCATTGATAAGCACATTAGTTATGGATTAGTAAATACTGAATTCATCATTTATAAAGCATGTTTCTGCTGTAAATAGTCATTACTATGTGGTTTATAATCACAGTTATAAATGTTTTACTCTTCATTGTACTGTACATTTCTGCATGCACTTGCATATCCACTATTCAGACATGTATTAATGATTAGTGACTGTGTTAGCAGATATTCTATAAAAACTCACAACAAATTAATTTGCTAATGATGGCCTATAAACAGTTATTAATGCAGGAATTAATGAATTGAGGCAGTTAAAAAGCACTTACTACTCGTTAATTAAGTATTTTGCCTGAGCTCATCTAAAGTGAGCACTATCTATGGCCTATTAAGCATTTACAAATGAGATATAAAGGCTGGCAATGCCTCAAGACTCACAAAATGTTCAGTTATCTTAACAGACGAAGGAGAGACACAACACAAAGGGATATAGAACATATTGTATTGATATTTACTGCAACTTCCCAACATATTGTATGAAGACGAACAAGGGTGGTTTATGAAGACATGCTATTGTTGTGATCCTATCTGTTTGGGACGTGTATGCTGAGCTTGCAATCCCACTCTCAGCACGTCATCAACGTGCTGAGAGTGGGAGGCGGGATGTTACGTCATATTTACGTTAACTCTCAGAAGTTTCTGACAGTGCAGCCAGATAATGTCTAATAAGGGGAGAAGTTCCACTCTCGGTACACTTCCGGCTTCTGAACTGTTGCAGTTCCACTCTGGCTCCATATGAGGGCGCTCACAGGATGAGTGCAGAATGAATGGCGGTCTATGGAGCTATACCCCTCAAAATCCACTTTTCTCAGGACATAATTTTTTGTCTAGTAATTTGAATGTTGCATTCGAAAGGGGATGCAAAGAAATTACACATTGCTGGGTGTTAGATTTTTTAGAGTCACTTATTTGCTTTAAAAAGTCTTTTAAAATGTCAATGACGTCATACACATCGTACGGCCAGAGATACTGCTTTACTGCAAGCCTTGAGTCACTTTGTGCTTCCACGCTCTGCACTTCCTTTTCTCTCGAGGCATCGACAACACAGCTGACACAGGTTAGGCTCTCCCGTCAATACACGTGCTAGAAAGAGTTTTTGTTTTGCTGTTTTAAACACCAAGCCGAAATATTCATATTCCCGCTTCGGATGCCACAATGCCATCAAGTGGGATCTCTGGTCGTAATTAGTCCTTCACTGACCAATCAGCGTTCATTAGCAGAATGCTAGCGTGTTATGGGCAACAACAACTCAACCTGTAAGAAATCGAAAGGACATAAGTACTTGTTCATTCAACTTTCGACCTATAACCCATGTTGAACTTGCAAAAACTACAATCAAATCTGAGATTTCTCAGCCACAGTCAGGTGAAAGAGACAAATTTACCCGTCTAGCTCAATAGACTCCCATTCATTTTGCACTCATGGGTGATCGCCCCCAGCCGAACTCTGGTGGAACTGCAACCAAAATTCGGTACAATGGGACTTAATAGAGAGTGGCCAGGCTCTCCGTAGACGGGCTCTGGTGCAGCCAAGGGGAGCATGGAGAAGCACATTGGAGTTTGCTCGGCGGCCGTCAGCGGCACTAGTGGTTAGTATGTGTCTTTGTTTGGTAGCACACATTATGGTTGAAAGCTAACGTTAGCTTGTCAGCAGCTGCAGGTGTTTGCCCTCGCTCCCCGACTAACGTTACTAACATTACCGACCCGCCCGCAGTGCAAAATACTTAATTAACGAGTAGTAAGTGCTTTGTAACTGCCTCAATTCATGAATTCCTGCATTAATAACTGTTTATAGGCCATCATTAGAAAATTAATTTGTTGCGAGTTTTTATATAACATCTGCTAACACAGTCACTAATCATGAATACATGTCTGAATAGTGGATGTGCAAGTGCATGCAGAAATGTACAGTACAATGAAGAGTAAAACATTTATAACTGTGATTATAAACCACATAGTAATGACTATTTACAGCAGAAACATGCTTTATAAATGATGAATTCAGTATTTACTAATCCATAACTAATGTGCTTATCAATGATGAATAAAACATTTTTAACTGTGTTTATAAACTACATACTAATGTGTATTCATGCGTTATAAATAATGATTTTATTATTTATTCATGCTTAACTAATGCTTAATAGTGTGAACTTATTATAAAGTGTTACCGACATCTGTGGCTTAACTTGTTTGGTTTCCTCTGATTTGAGTTCAACCATGAATACTTTACCCCTTGTTGTTGAATGTGTAAAAAGCCCTGCGATGAGTTGTAGAGCTAATTGGCCGAGTCTGAAAAGCAGAGCAGAGCTATGTCATCAATGAGGCTGCTCCTCTTGGTTATGCTAAATAGGGAGGAAGATAAACTGCAAACTGCAAACTATAAGGCTTTTTTTATTCAATTCCAATTCCAGAAGTACAAAAATGTCCAAACGCTTATATAGTTTACATGCTTAATGTGTATTTTGTGCTGTGTTGAGACATTAACATAAATATTATTAATTTATTTTGTCTTTCACCAGCCCAGCCTGTCTCTGTTGCCCTGTTTTGGTGTTACAACCCACAGTTTTACTATTTTGATTCACTGTCACCACTCTCAGCTGCAACAGGTAGTATTCAGTGGCCCTAAGGGCTCAACGCACTGCAACTTATAGGAAAAGACAACCGCTTTACCAATTTGACAAATGGATAGCATTTAAAGAAAATCCTGCAAAGTGAGAAAAAAAAATACAGAAAGAAACAAGCTGCAAATACACAAAACAAAACAAAAAAAAGTCCAATATTGTCTGTGTTGCAGCGTTTCTGTATTTGGTTGTGTTTTGTCTCCCAAAAACATGTTTCTAAATGTGTGTCTTGTTAAATTGGTGTTTTTGTAATTTGCTAGGGTGTTTCATCATTTCTAGACCCACAGTTATATATATAAATATTGTTTAAGATAATGTCAGTTAAGGCCCCAAATGTTTTTTTTTTTTTTCTGTCAGGGCACCTCCCTCCTCTCAAACCACCTGGTATATCCACAGAGACAAAACATCACTGGTCAATATTTTTATGCGGCACCAAAATGTCTTAATATAAGTGTAAGCTTTTGGTATGTATGAAAGTACATGTGATGCCACCCAGTGGTTTAGCTCTCATTCACAGTATGTCGTCGACACAGAGGTGGTCAGAGAAGGCATGGGCACTCTTACAGCTGTTGTTGGTGGCGTCTTTCTCTCAGGCTGAGGATCCGGTGTGCAGGCGGATAGGGGATCCTGAGATCCCCCAGATGTCTAAAGATGGGGACATTATATTGGGGGGAATCTTCTCTTTCCACAATACATGGAAAAACAGACAGGATACGTACATGCACAAACCACTGCCACTGCAGTGCACCAGGTAATTAGATAGGAAAAATGTGTTCATTATACAAAGATCGAAAAGGAAGTAAGTACAGATACAAAACAGGTTATTGAATGAATACTGAATTAAGAAATATTGCATGTTGTGTGTATTGATACAATCAAATACTTTCATTTACTATGCTATTGTTTTAATTTCAAGAATTAATTGTTTGAAGTTACAACAATTTTTAACTGTCTCCATCAAGTTTGGAATTCAGAGGGTTCCAGTATGCCCAGGCTATGCTCTTTGCCATAGAGGAGATTAATAACAGCACAGACCTACTGCCTGGCATCTCTCTGGGCTATAAAATCTACGATGCCTGTGCCTCCATTGCCAGAGGTGTGAGGGTCGCATTGGCTTTGGCAAATGGTAATGAAGGGGTATCTGCACCCTCAGAGGCTCCATGTACCAGACCTGCCCAAGTGCAGGCCATTATGGGTGAGACGTTTTCCTCTCCTTGCATGGCTATAGCTACTGTCATCGGACCGTTTCATATCCCAATGGTGGGTAAGACTGGTAAACATCAAATTTAATTTGTGAAAAACAATCATTAATGTGTAATTCTTCCAGCTGGCCATGGGGTTTAAAAAACACTGCAGTGTGTTGTGTAAATGTTTTATATTTTATATTTTACAACTTTATCTTGGGATATCATTTCTTTTTTCTTTTAGATCAGCCACTATGCTACTTGTGCTTGTCTCAGTGATAAAACCAAGTACCCATCCTTCCTCAGAACAATACCCAGTGACTACTACCAGAGCAGAGCCCTGGCCAAGTTGGTCAAGCACTTTGGTTGGACTTGGGTTGGAGCTATTAGAACAAATGATGATTATGGCAATAATGGAATGGCCACTTTCACAGAAATTGCCCAGCAGCTGGGCATTTGTCTGGAATATTCTGTATCTGTCTTTAGAACAGATCCACCAGATAAAATACAAAAGACAATTGAAATTATCAAGGCTTCTACTTCAAAGGTCATTGTCACCTTCCTCTCGCCCTCAGAGTTGCATTTGATAATAAACGAGTTGGCTCAACACAACCTGACTGGGTACCAGTGGGTAGGTACTGAGGGCTGGATCCTTGATTCTGAAAGCGCAGCAGTGGATAGGCATCACATTCTGGATGGTGCCATAGGCCTGTCTATCCCCGCAGCACTTGTCAGTGGCATGGAAGAGTTCATGTTGAATGTGAAGCCACTTAATTCATTAAGTAATGAATTGTTTACAGAGTTTTGGGAGAGATTATTTAGCTGTAAGTTCACACAGTCAAAGTCATCAACAGGGAATCAGAGAGAATGTACTGGAGATGAAGATCTGTTTGGAGTGCAAAACAGCTACACTGATATGTCGCTCATGCCTGCCTTTTACAATGTCTATA